CACATACACTGACTTGCGAAAGCCATGGTAGATGTGGTAGCTGAAATGGACATCAACGTTCTTTCCTCTTGAAAAGTTCTGTTCTATTAATTTAGAAAGTTTTATTAAATTTTCAATCTATTTGTTTTAAAATTGCAGTGGTTCTTTTGCACTGATTTTGTTACATAATACAATTCTATTATTTGGAACATAATTCATCTTTATTAATTCACAACATATGCTGCTGAGTGCTTAGCAATTCAGAAAGCAACCAATTACCTGTTACTGCACTGTATCACACAACTCAGAGGATCAGTCACAAACAAAAATAATAGGTGAGCTGACAATGTTATATTCCTACATGTACAGTAATCACCACACAATTCTTACCAGGCCACAAAAGAGCAGGGCCAGATAGAGAATACTACAACGCCACACATTACTCCACTCACTGTTAAAATTGCCTTTCAAAGCCTCCCTGAGCTGTATAGCTCCATGTTCATCTCTTCTAATAGCCCTGTTCAAATTTAGCAGACAGCCACTCCACCTCTGCCCTCCATCCTGGCAGAAACTTTTCCCCTTTTGCTTCACAGATATTAAGCAGGACACAGCAGGTAGCTGTGGGATATAAACATTGGGATATTTTTCTCCCTGAGGTCCAATCTTGTGAGTCGGCAACACCAGCGACCCTTCAAATGACCAAATGCACATTCAACTGTCACTCAATACCTGCTGAGCCAGTAGTTGAATCGTTCCTTGGTGCTGTCGAGGTGACCAATCTATGGCTTCATGAGCCAGGGGAGCAAGGGATTGGTATTTCAATATTGCCAGTGGCAATCTGCCAGTAGGGAAAGAGTCCATGCTTGTAGCTTTCTGAACAGTCCTGTGTTCTTAAAGATGTGAGTGTCACGCACCTTCCTGGATCGGACACTGATGTTGGTGAAGCGTCCCAGTGATCCACCTATGCTTGCATCATCATAGAAAAGTAGCCCTTTCTATTGATGTACTCAGTGGCAACATGGTCTGGTGCCAAAATAGGAATATGCATGCCATCTATTGCTCCACCACAGTTCAGGAACCCCACAGCTGCAAAGCCATCCAGTATGTCCTGCACATTACAGAGTCACAATCCTGTACAGCATGAGGCATTTAAAAGCTCTGTACACTCGCACGGCAACAGCCACCACGGTGAATTTCCTGACTCCAAATTGATTTCAGACAGGTAACAATCTGGTGTTCCACTTGTGAGCGCCACTCACTTCTCCACTGTCAGTGCAGCTCTCATTTTGGTGTCTTGTGCTGAAGGGCTGGGGTAAGCTCCCTACACAGATCCAGGGACATGGCCTTGTACATCCAAAAGTTCCGCAGCCACTGCTCATCATCCCAAACTTACATTACGATGCGATCCCACCAGTCAGTCAGTGCTTGTTTCTCAGGTCCAGAAGTGGTGCTCCACCTTCTCCATCTGTTCCATGCACACCATTCAATTGATTCTTGCTATGTCCCATGACAATCTGCCCTCCAAGGAATCATTTTTCCCCCCTCCCTCCCCCAATTCAGGTCTTCTTGAGGCTCTGCAAATACTACAGGATCGTGGAACCCTGTGCTTGCAATGCTCCTGACAATAGTGCAGAACTGTGCAGGCTTCGTGCTTCTGTCTGAGATGGCGGACAGCAAGGAGGGACACGTGGGTTTGTGGGATTTTGAAAAAAAGACACGAAAATTATGGGATACACATACAATTATGGGATGGAGACAGTTGTAAACTGGGACATTGACCCATGCTCCCAGTCACCCCATGCGACTCGTTTTGGCCCCATCATGCATTGCCAAAACTCCCCCAAAACTAGCGAGCTGGATAGTGTCTAGTTGCACAGTGAGACTGCCTACCCATTGTGCACTGCACTCTGCATTGACACAAGCACTCCTAGTGAATACATGCACTGCCAGCACAAGGAGCCAAGTATGCACGTGCACAAGAGATGTACTAACTGCGGCAGCTGTATGCTGATGTAACTTGAGTAAACATCAATTTTTAGTGTAAACATAGCCTTGGTCTGGCTCACTTATAAGAACGGCCATACTGGATCAGACCAATCGTCTATCTAGCCCGGTATCCTGTCTTCTGACAATGGCGAATGCCAGATGCTTCAAAAGGAATGAACAGAACAGGGCAATTATAGAGTGATTCATCCCGTCGCCCAGTGCCAGTTTATGGCAGTCAGAGGCTTAGGGACACCCAGAGAATGGGGTTGTGTCCCTGACCATCTTGGCTAAAAGCCTTTGACGGGTCCATCCTCCATGAACTTATCTAATTGTTTTTTGAAGCCAGTTATACTTTTGGCCTTCACAACATCCCCAGCAACAAATTCCAAAGGCTGACTGTGCATTGTGTGAAGAAGTACTTCCTTTTGTTTGTTTTAAACCTGCTGCCTATTAATTTCATTGGGTGACCCCTGGTTCTTGTGTTATGTGAAGGGGTAAATAACACTTCCTTATTCACTTTCTCTACACCATTCATGATTTTATAGACCTTAGTTGCCTCTTTTTTAAGACTAACAGTGCCATTCTTTTTAATCTCTCCTCATATGGAAGCTGTTCCATAACCCAATCATTTTTGTTGCCCTTCTCTGTCTTTTCCATTTCTAAGATACCTTTTATGAAATGGGGCAATCAGAACTGTACACAATAGCTATGGGCACTCCATGGATTTATATAGTGGCATTATATTTACTGTCTTATTATCTATCCCTTTCATAATGGTTTCTAAAGTTTTTAACTTTTTTGACTGCCGTTGCACATTCAGCTGATGTTTTCAGGGAACTAATCACAATGACTCCAAGAGCTCTCTCTTGAGTGGTAACAGCTAATTTTAGAACCCATCATTTTGTATGTATCGTTGGGATAATATTTTCCAATATGTATTACTTCGCATTTATCAACACTGAATTTCATAGGCCATTTTGTTGTCCAATCTCCCAGTTTTGTGAGATTCCTTTGTAACTCTTCGCAATCTGTTTTGGATTTAACTATTTTAAGTAATTTTATATCATCTTCAAACTTTTCCACCTCACTATTTACTGCTTTTTCCAGATCATTTACAAATACCTTGACCAGCACTAGTCCCAGTACAGATCTCTCAGGGACACCAATATTTACCTCTCTCCATTCTGAAAATGGACCATTTATTCCTACTCTTTGTTTCCCATCTTTCAGCCAGTTACTGATCCATGAGAGGACGTTCCCTCTTATCCAATGACTACTTAGCTTATTTAAAAGGCTTTAGTGAGGGACCTTGTCAAAGACTTTCTGAAAGTCCAAGTACACTATTCCACTGGTTCACCCTTGTCCACATGCTTGTTGAGCCCCCTCAAAGAATTCTAATATGTTGTTGAGGCATGATTTCCCTTTACAAGAGGCAGGTTAACTCTTCCCCAACATATCACGTTCATCTATATTTCTGTTCTCCACTATAGTTTCAACCAATCTGCCTGAAGTTAGGCTTAATGGCTTGTAATTGCTTTCTTCAAAGACTAGCTCTTATTCTGTACTTTCCCTGTCTGTGCAAATAGATCCTTTTTCCCTTTAAAAACACATACCACAAAGTCTATCTTCAAGAAAAAATGGTGAGGTACATACCGCTAACACTATCAAGTACCCATGACTATTTCCCTGTCTATATATTACTCTAGATTTCTGATCTAATTTTTGAGGCTTGTTCTCTAAAGGCTCCTCCCTTTATGATTGTTGTAGCTTGCTAATCTTGCTTAAGCTCATGACACTACATTTTCCACAATCAGATAAACAAAATAAATATCCCCACTGAAATGTTTACATTTCATAGGCAGGTGGATAGCAGGAAATTTCACATTTATTTTAAAACACACTTCAGATAAGTGGCCTCAATTTGCTCTGAACATGTCACATCAACAGTTACACTTATCAACATGAACTTAGAATTCTAAGAATGTGATGGTCTTACAATGAAGGAAAGTGTTGCCTTTAAGTACCCAGGATGTAAAACAAAGGATCTCTAACAGAATTTGCACAATCCTTTCAAACAATGCATGATTTAACAGGAATTATTTCATTACACATGATTCAGGGCATTCCCTAAGAGACTGATACCGAAAGGGGTTAGAGTGCTGAAATTGTACAATTTAGTTGTTTCTAGAACAGCTGGAACTTTATTTTATGGAGTGTTACTTTCAAGAGTCTACTTCATAATGAAAGAATTTTGCTGTGTTCACTTCCATAATCCCAAATATGCTCTTCGACAAGTAATATACACACACTAGACAACTCTCTCATCTGTTCATAAATTGTGCACCTGTGGCAACATATTTGTCTGTATAGTTCCAGGCTAGCCCTGTGCCATTGTTCCCTTCATGCTAACTATATTTTTGTCGCATCCAGCTCCTAAAAGTATTGATCGGATTCCTGAATGCAAAATTCAATTGAAGAGTGAAAGAATCAGAGGGCTAACTGAAATTAACTATATGAAAGTTCTCCAGTTATAAGAAGTGTACCAATGAGGAAATGGGAGTTTGGGGGTAAAAAAACAAACAAACAAAAAAACAGCTAACTTCTGCTCTCAGAAGTCAAAACTTCATTCCCATATTCTGCTCCAATTATAGGTATCCAATTCTTGTTGGCCTCATTTGAAGTTTTTTGCAGGTAGGGAGAGGGGAAAATATGAGCTTTTAAGGTCATCATGCAGCAGTGAGAACAGAACGTTGCCCAAACATTATTTCTGAGAGAATACATCTGTTGGAATAATCTTCAGAATAAATTATATCACTATATTCATCTGCCATCCACGTGACTGGTCTTGATAACAGATTCTCTCATTTCTAGTCAGTTTCCAACTTAACGTTTTCTGTTTATTAAAGCATATCCCGATGACAAAATGTCAGCTGACAATCACTTATTAAAATCTTGCAGCTCACTTCAACTCCACAAATTAACATATATCATATTAACAGGTTGCTAGTTTAGCATCAACTAGCTTCACATCCTACCTTCACGCCAACTGCAACATCAGTGACAATGCTGTAAAGAAAACAAGAAACCTGATTTAATAGTAAGAAACATGTCTGAGTTTTCAAGCCACAGATTGACTCTCAAAATAAATGATTTCCCCATAAAACTGAACTCTGAATATATTTTAATTAACTTTAGTATTTAGAAATTAAAATAGCAAAGACCGACCCCTCAAAAGAGGAGAGGGGTCAACAAAAAACAAAACAGGAATGGGAGTGGGCTCAAAGGTTCAAAATAAAAGACATCCAGAAGGCACACTGAACAGAGAATCCCAGAGAGTGCCCACAGCTACAAAAGGTGTCCATGATGTCAGTGAACACTACCCAAAGAAGCTCTGTCTGGACACAGGACTTAAGAAGTGAGAGGAATTAGGTCCCACCGTCAGAGAACCCACCCCATCCGGCCTCCTCTTTCTAGAGTCTGATAGATATCCATTTTGGCCAATGCCAGAAAGTCTGAAGAGGAAGTCTCTGGACTTTGTGGGACAATGGATAGAGTGAGAATAGGAGGATTTAAGGACAGGTGTAGTACATAAGATACCTTTCTGTTCATTCTTTAACAGTGATCCCTACAGAACAATTCAGGGCAGAAAGTGATTAATACTATTTCTGAACTGAAAAAGCTGACCACATTGAAGGCTAGCGCCTACAAATGGCACCCTACACCCATGTGAAACAACAGCACAGACATGCTCTTATGCAGATCCATTTACAGGATCTAGCATTGGGTAGGCAGAATATAACAACCCAAAACAGAATATAGCCAGGATACCCTAATTAACACAAATATCATAAAATATTAAAATCAAAACATGATAAGTAAAGTATGCCACTTCCATGGGTATCAATTTGTGAGTAGCACAAAGGATTGACGTTTTAGACAGGGTTTGTAACACCAACATTATGCTGACAAGCAACCATAAAAAGCCTTTAAAAATCACATTACCAATAGGTTATACATTTATCACACAAACACAAGAGATTGTTTAATTGGTCTCAAAAGAGGGAGGAAAGTTAAATGAGGACTGTAAGATGCTGCACAAGTACAAGTGTTTATGCTGACAGTAGCTATAAACACCAGCGGTGGTTCCCAGCCCCAATGAAAAGAGGGCCTTGTGTATAACTACCCACTCAAGCTCCCTGCCACGAATGAAGGCCCTTGCTGTCCCATATCGTTGACGCCTGCAAACGCTTCCCTACTTAGGCTTTTACTGCCTGTCTCCAGTATACACAAAGGCATCTTTCTACCTTAAATAAAAAAAAAGCCAGAGGGCTATTAAACAGCTATTGAAAACAAAAGAGCTTGACATCTGCCTCCTCCTGCTGCTGCTCCTCCTCCTCTCTGGAGAGCTCCAAAACAAGCAGGAGTCTTGTTCAGAGCGTTTCCCCTAACCCCACAAATGAGGGGGAGGGAATAAGAGGGAGGGAATGGGGGCACACCTCCCCCCCCACACACACACACCATTGAGAGGGCCACAGAATGAACAGGGCGCTAAGTAAGGGCTCACACAGCCCTAGGTGAGTCAGGAACGGACCCTCCCCAGCCCCGCATCTGAGTCCGCGTTATGCAGAAGCTCCCCCCATCCTCGCTGGGCCCCAGTCGGTCTCCAGCTCCCCCACAGGGAGGATGCAGGAGCTAATCCCCGTTATTCAGTGGGGTGTGCTGGGCACCCTGCTCCTCCCAGACACCCGCGGGGTGGAGAGCGAGCCCCGCTCTGCCCAGCCCCCAACGGGAAGGCAACAATAAACCGGCGGGTGCGGCGGCGGCACCCGCTCCCCCACCGCCCCGTTACTCACCCGTCCATCGCCGAACAAGACAAAGCGCTGGCGAGCAGGGCAGGGAGCCGCGCAGGCAGCGAGCGGAGAGAGGCAACGAGAAAATGGCGGCCGGGCCCCCACGGAAACCGCCGAAGGTTGCCGAGTGCCAGGCTCTGCTCCCCATCAGATTGGGCTCCCTCGTTGTCACTGGGCATGCCCGTGCGCTGTGCGCATGCTCAGTAGCAGCAGCTACTGGCGCTTCTGCGATGCCCCTCGTCACCTGCCTGTCTGAGCCAAACTATTCCCCCCGCGGGGGCCAACGCAAGCAAGACAAGCAGGGCGATTTCCTAGCCTTGCTGCCCACAAGGCCCACTCCTAGGCCCATCTCCCACGTCACATTCATCTCCCAGCCCTGCTGACTGGAGGCCTGCTTTTTGGAGGGAAATTCTTTGACTGTTTACCTCAAAGTCTGGCTCCTTTAGCTGGGGAGAGACTCCTCAGCCCGGCTGTGCCTGAGACGAGAAACTTGCCAGATCTGATGCCCCGGGACTTGGATTGGATGCCCCAGGCTCCAGCCCTGGTGCCAGGCTTCACTTGTTGCAGGAAGAGACTGTCCAAACTTGGTGCTGCATCTCCTTCATTTCTGGGGCCAGAGAGGGAGTAGTTAAAGCCTTTCTCCTCTTGTAATGGAAACTTTTGGAGAGGAATTGCCATCAGTAGTCCATCTTCTGTAGTATCCTGCCTCTCCAATTGGCCAGTGCAGGGTCCTTCAAAGGAAATTATTACCTACATAATGCATCTAATTGTGCCACAAAATTCCAAAGGATAGGAAAGAAATTCTTCCTGTTTTAAATTGAGAACCATTAGCTTATGCCCTGAAACACGAGCAAGGAAAAGATAGACATGTTATTGCACACAATATAATAATCACAGCTAGTGCAGTTAGTCCTAGATATCAACCACTCTTAAGACCCCTGATGAACAAAAAAGCAAAACCATCAAGCATGCTATAATATGTTCCCCCTCCCTCCCTCCAAGCAATTAAAGATTGCACACAATGGCTCATACTTCCCTTGGGGTTAGGGTTCCCCCTTCAAAGCTGATAACAAATATACTTTAATTGGTATTAAGATGAACATATAATTTCCTCATGGCCACAACAGTCCTGAAATGTTGTACATTGCAGGATTTGGGCCTAAATCTAAACTAGGTATATTTACACTACAAGGCCATTTAGTAGCATGTTTGGTTTCACAATGTTGCAAACTCTCTCTGTTTTAGCATGAGTCTTGCAATATTTGATATTTTACTTATATCCAAGGCTCCTGGAGATGGCTGATTATGGGAGAATCTCAGCTTTCATTTCTTTGAAAAAAAATAAACGTTTCTAGCCTTTGTGTTTATGGAGAAAAGCTTTAAAAATGTGAACCAAAGGTAAGATAAGGGCTCAAAAACCAGCAGGGAAATAAATAGAACTCAACACGCATTTTGTTAAAAAATATATATATATAGTCTCATGATTTTTAAGCCAATCTCATGATTTCCTGGGTCCTACCTCATGGTTTTGGCAGGGACGTGCTGGCCACCACTTCCTGCAGCTCCCATTGGCCGGGAACGGCGAACCACGGCCACTGGGAGCTGCAGCCGGTCAATGTAAACAAACTGTCTCGCAGCCCGCAGGTTGCTCACCCCGGTCTACACTACAAAGTTAAGTTGACATAAATTGCCTTGCATCAACCTACTGATGCATGTGTCTACATTAAATTTGTCTGTGACCAGCATAAATATTCTGTTGTGGTGATAGAGTAAAATCACTTCCCCAAACAGCATAGAGCCTTGTTCAACCTACTTTGATAGATGTAGTGGAAGTGTAGACACTGTATGACCAGTGTCAAACCAAACAGTCCTCCAGCCACTATCCCACAATGCCCCAGTCCCCACGACAGTGACCACTCTGCTCATGATTTAAAACTCCACAGTTGAGGGGTCACATATACTGAAAGCTTTCCCCCCACCCTTTCAAAACTTTTTTTTAAATGTACTTTGCTTGTTGCCCACGTTGGTGAACATACTTAGCAGCTCACCTTTGTGATTGTGTCCACCCAACAATGACTACACACACACACACAGGTAATAGATGCACTATTGCCTGGAGCAGGCAAGAAGAACTGGATTTCCTGGGCCTGTGGGGAGAAGAGGCTATGCAAGCACAGATATGGAACAGCCCTAGAAATGTGGATCTCTCTGAATAGATTGCATGGAGGATGCAGGCTAAGGAGTACAATAAGGATCAGCAGCAATGCCACATGAAAGTAAAGGACGTTCACTAGGAATACCACAAAGTGAGAGAGGAAATCTGATGCTGCCCCACAGACCCGCCACTTTTACAATTAACTGTGCGCCATACTTCTTGGTGACCCCACCAGCACTCGACGGACCACTATGGATACCTCAGAGGAGCCCAAGATGGAGACCACTGGCTTGAACAGCAAGGAGGAGGAGGAGCAGGAGTAGAGAAACGCAGTGGGGGACTCCTACCGTGCCATGAGCCAAGACCTGTTTGAAATGCCACAGAACTCTAGCCAGTCTTGTTAAGTGAGCTCAGATGAGCCCACTGATGAAGGGGAAGTGAGCTTAGGTAAGTGTGTGCAGGCAATTTTCCTTAAATTTTATTTTATTTACTTTTCCTTCCTCTTCCCCCTTCCCCATGCCATTTAAAGATGACACCCATCCCATCCCCATATTATAAAATAAAGGGACTGTTTTTCACCATCTTATCTTGTCAGAGTAAAAAGTAAATTCAAGCCAAATTCTCGAACAATACTATATGCAGAGTTGGTGTAGCCATGTCAATCCCAAGATACCAGAGAGACAAGGTAAGTGAGGTAATATCTTTTATTGGACCAACTTCTGTTGGTGAGAGAGACAAGCTTTCGAGCTTACATAGAGCTAGTCTTCAGGTCCCTGAAGAAGAGCTCTGTGTAAGCTCAAAAGCTTGTCTCACACACCAACAGAAGTTGGTCCAATAAAAGATATTACCTCACTTACCTTCTTTCTGAACAGTACTATGGCAGTTGGATTACATAAATCACATTGATTCAGTGTCCTGTGCTCATTTTGAGGTAGAACAAACAGAAATATAGTCAGCATCTGCTGAGAAATCTTGATAAAACTTTCATGGAGATATTCTGCAGTCCTCTCCGGAAGGTTTCCAGGGATGTCGGCCTTATTTCTTACTCCATGATAGGACACTTTCCCACACCACTCTGCGATGAATGTGGCTGGCACCATCTCAGCCCACAGACTAGTGGCATATGGG